TCTCTCTGAGTACCGCCCACATACGCCCCCCTCCCTATTGTGCCTGCGCCCTCGGGCGGAAGCTGCTCCACCTCCGCGAGAAAAGATTTCGCGCAGCACTCACTTTACGTCTTTCATGTGTGGTTAATTTTACCCCCCCTCTCCCCTCTCCTACGTGCTCGCGTTGCGCACGCGTATAATCCTTTGTAAATGAGGAATCAGATATGAGTGGAACAACCCGCCCCCTCCTCTCTCTCTCTTCTTTTGCTTACACCGTGGATTTTTACCCCCTCGCGTTCGGCTCGCGTCGGCAGCGCCCCACACCGCCACGCCCTCCATCGGACCCACCCTCGACCATCTGTCCGCAAGGACACCGCCACCGCCCTGGAAGCGAGAGAGAGGGAGAGAGAGAGGAAGAAGAGAGAGAGGGAGAAGTACGGGCGTCGTTGGTCCGACTATAATTAGATCACACTCTCTCCCGTAAACTTCCGCCAGGGATCACACAACTCGTCGGCTTCTCTTCGTTTGGTTTGCGGGTCACCACCTCAACCCCGCCGCTCTCTTCTTCCGGTTCCGGCCGCCCTCAGAGCCACACCTGAGGTCGCTTCCCTCCCCCCCCCCTCTCTCTCTCTCTCTCCCTCTCGCTCCCGGGTCGTGCTGCTGCGGTGCCTGGGGCCTGCCCCCGGGCCTCCCGCCCCCGCCCGATATGCTGGATGGTGGCGCGCCCCCTCCCTGCTACCCTTTGCCACGGACTATCGAATTACGACTTAACCAAAATATCTGTGTCGGTTTTACATAAGTGTGTCGGACGGGCCCCGGGGCGGGAGGGGGAGCGCGCCTGCACGACGGCCCGCCTGACCGGCTGCCTGACCGTGCTGCTGATAATGGTATTTTCTCGGTCGCCCCGAGCGCTCCGCCCGCTGGCGCTGCAATGACTGTATTTGTTTAAGAGCGCAGCCGCAGTCTCCGTGGCACGCGTCTGTTGCAGTTTGTTATAATACCGTCGATACTGACGATGGGGCTGCATGGTGGAGCAAGACTGTCCAGCAGCTGGGCCATGAGCGACCTATTACCCGAGCCTGTTCCTGTTACCGCCTGTTTGGAAAATTATGTTTTCAAATTGTTTGGATTTTAATTTTTCCGAACTGTTTGGGTCATAATTTTCCAGTTAATTATCTAGAAATTTCCAAAAAATTATTAATGGAGTAAAAATTGTTTCCTGTTTGGCCCATTTGCGAAGCGTTCGTGCACGCATAAAACAGTTCAATCCGGAGGACCAAACTCCAAAACCAATAAAAGTTCTGCGGACGAAATTTTGATTGTTTTGACTAAATAATTCGGTCATTTTAATTTCGCGTTGATTGGTTCGACCCTGAAAGGGTGACAAGTCGACACACTTTGTCATATGCACTTTGCACTTCCAAAATCAAAGGATACGCCTGCAACAATATCCTATCAGCAAAACGACGGGAATTTTTTGCAGATAGGGATTCCTGTACAGAATTCCTAATCCAGTTTTCCTAAAAGTTATTTTCCTACCTCTGCCATGCCTACTTATACTATTTTCCTGAACCACTTTTCATAAATTTTGACCATCGTCACTGTCGCTGAAAAGGGAAAAAAATTATGGGGGGCTGTTACAGCTGGACAGAATTTAGGAGATACCATACCGCCCTATTTTGCAGTTTTGCCTATTACTTGACTAATATCTATATTACCAAAGCAATTACCGAACGACTGACCCGACCATTACCTGAGTGGATACTCCCTCTTAATTTATAGTGTACCTTCGGGCTGTAGGCCACGTCTAGGTTAGAAGAACTGAAATAGGTAAATTGGAAAATAGGAAAAGGAAATTAGGAATTCGAAATTTAGGAATAACGAGTTTAGGACATTATTAGGTTAGGAAAAGTGGAGTGGGAAAATTGAGTGGGAGTGGAATGTGATGTCATAACCCTTCACCTTTCTCACATTTCGGCGACAGGAGAGAGGTAGTGACAGGGAATAACGACACATTTTGCAGATAGACTATTGTTGCAGCCACCCATCGAAATATTATCATACCTGCGGAGTCGCGACCGTTCGACTTAAAAATAAAAAGAAGAGAAAACATCGCGGGTCATGTATTACTTCAAATTTGCCCAGCACCGTGTCTCATCTCGTTCCTTGTCGGGAATTTGCTCTTATTTTGGGACCACAATAAGGGTGGCTGGTCTGAACAGATGGCGCGCGGTGTTAGCTGGCCCTCTCGTGGTTCCCCGCCCTCTTCTCACTCGCACTCCACCCCACCCCCCGCCCCTTTTGGCTCACTGCTCCCGCCCCTGCTCTCTCTCTCTCTCCCTCTCTCTCTCTCCCTCTCTCTCTCTGTCTCTCTCTCTCTGTCTGTGTCTCTCTCTCTCACACACACCCACACTGCCACTGCCGGCACCTATATCATATGCACGACGATCCCGTCACTGGCTCATAGATCTTGGATGCGGTAATAACGGCTAAACTTGACCTGCAATAGGACGCCACGAAACGAGGCCACTGGCGGCCTACCAGCCACACGGCCTGTCTATCCACCAGCCACTCCCCTCCCACCTGCGAGCCCCCGCGGCCGCACGACCAGCGCGGTGGTGGCCACAGGATCTCCCGATAATCCGCCCCCTCCCCTCCCCCCCTCCCCTCCCCCACCCCCCCTCCCGGTCCCCGCACAGAGGAGGAATGGAGACATGGAATGAAATTAAGTTAGCCCTGGCCTGGGTCCGGCGGCGGCGGCGGGCAGAGTGAGGGGAGGACGGGGGAGGGGAGAGGATGGGAGAGGGGAGGGAGGAGGGTCAACACACTCGGAGAGGGAGAGCACAGCAGCCGACATCCTCAATGAACTTATGCACACAACGCCGGGGCGCGCGGGGGCCAAATAGCGAAATAAATATTGACGCTGGGGTGGTAATGCCGGTCCAGTTACCCGCAATGCACCACATGTCGCGCCGAGGCGACCACAAGTAGTGCGCGGCGCAGCGCAGCGCGGCCGGTGTAAGTGGCGGAAAATTAAGTGACGACAGCGGGACAGCAGCAGCAGCGGCCACAGGCGGACATGGGGATCGGGCAGAACATAAAGAAACCAAAAAGAGAAAAAAATGTCATGGATATATACTGAGACTTCAAATTCAATATAGTGTCATTTTTTTTACATTCCTCAGAATATCATTTCACATTCGTAATAACTCGACAGACCCCAGCTCTGCTCTCACGGGCTCAGAGAATGGTAGCGTACCTGCCTATCTCATATTAATGTGACGTCACATTATTTGAATGACTGTGTGGTTTTCAAAACGAAATTGTGAAAACTTGTTTTTTCAACCATTACTATACCTCTATACCGCAGCCCAATCGTGTCCGCCTCTCCGTTTTGGTCTTCAACTATAACTACGAACCTCTATTATCTCCCTCTCTTGTCCCGCTCCAAAACTAGACAACTACACCGCCTGCACTGCACGCCCCTGGATCACCTCCCCCGCAAAGCGCCGGAGACCGTCGGAGACGTGCGACACGGTTATGGTAACATCAGGCGGTCCGTGTGGGGGCGGGGCGGGGGCGTTAGAGTGCTGCCAAGTGGAGCATGACGCGAGGGGGAGTAGCGCGAGAGCAGAATGGAATACACTTTGTTCTCTGTGCAGCGGGGCGGGGACGGGGGCGGGGACGGGAGCGCCGCTCTACTAGTGCTACGGCCCCCGTTCGGGGCTTCATGGATATGGGTGTGTATACGGGGAGAGCGGCGGGCGGGAGCACGGAGAGGGGGGGCGGGGGTGGCTGAGGCGAAGGGAGCACAACCTTGAGCACGCCGCCACCGAGCTCCATGTCCCCCATCAACGCCCCTCTCTCTAGCTCTCTCTCTCTCTCTCTCTCTCTCTCTCCCTCTCTCTCTCTCTCTCTCTCTCTCCCGCACTACCTGTACGAGTGCACCTCCTGCAAGGGCGAGCGGCGTGAGGGGCCAGTCTCCGGGCCAGAGGGGCGTTGAAGGATATAGGGGCATGG